CTCGGGCTCCTCGGCTTTCTTGGGCTTCCGCGTCAGCCCGCCGAGGCCGCCGCCGAGGCGCGTGGGCTTCCAGTCCTTGACGGCGCGCCCGCGCTCGACGTCGACCATGATCCTGCGCCCGTTGATCTTGAGCCCCTCGGCGTCCTTGTAGGCGGCGCGCATGTCGCGCTCGCGCTCGTAGAGCACAAACGCGTAACCCCGGCTCTTGCCCTCCTTGTCCCGCACGAGGCGGATGCGCTCGATGGGGCCGTACATGTCAAACTCGCGGTGGAGGTCCTTTTCGGTGGTGTCGTACGACTGTTGAAGGGGGGGGGGGGGCGAGCGAGGTCGAGCGGTCGGGTCAGCAAGACGTCGCAGGCATCCCAACGGCTCGTCAGCGGCGACTCACCAACCGCGCCAGGAATAGGGTCTTGAATGGGTCGCCGATGGCTTCCGGGTCCTTGTTGGGGTCGTCTGCGTCGACGAGGCGGCGGGAAAAGGGGGAACGGAACGGTCGGTGAGCGAGAGGACAGGCGGCGGTGGGCGGCGATGCGCGCGTGCGGCTCGCCACCGACGGCGCTGGTGCTCACACTTTTCTAACCCCTCCTTCTTCTCCTGCTCCTTTTTGCGCTTCTTTTCCTCCTTTGCCATCTCTGCGAGGGTGATTTTGGCGTGGGTGAACTGCTGGGCTTGGCCCTGCTCGTCGATGTCGTCGGTCGCCTCTCCGCGGTCGGCGGCCTCCTGCTTGACCCTCTCGAGGAAGGCGGCGACGCCGTCGAGGGGCCGCACCTTTTTGCGGTTGGAGATCTCATCACGGTCCTTTGGCTGCGGCGGGTCGTTGGGGTCCTGGTCGCCGGGCAGCGGCGGAGTGTACGGCAGCGGTGGCCGCGAGGTGAAAAGGCGGATGAGGTTGGGCGGTAGCTGGTGCGTCATCTTGATGGCGGCGGCGGCTCGGGATCAGCAGGCCGGCCGTGCGAGGGGCCAGGACCGGATGTCGAGCTGGATGCCGAATGGCACCGGGTGCGACTCTGCTGCAAACCGGACTGGCGCACAAGGGCCGTCTGCGAGCTGCAGCGGCGGCCAGAGGAGGAAGCGGTGTTGGTGGTGGTGGTGCCGATGCGGGCGAGGAGGAGGTGAGGTGGTGGGGTGCGGTGCAAGCAGCGAGCGAGAGGGCGTCGGGGACGGAAGGACGAGATGGTGGTGGTGGTTGGCCTTTGCTCGTGGCACTCGGGAGTGCTCTCGCCTCCTCTTCCTGGTGCCTGCAGCTGGGCGGAGAGTCGGGGGCGGGCTGATTATTCGGCCGGCAACAAGAGGGCTTGTGATCGCCGCCGCCGCCGCCGCCGCCGCCGCCGAGTTGGCCTGCGCGTCGTCCCTGGCCCCCTCCACAGCGAGGCGCAGCGAGTGGGCCCGCTTCCAACACCCTGCCTCGCCCCGCCCTTGCCCGCCCCTCATCACCGCTCCTCCCACCATCCCCTCCTTCCTTGTCGCCTGTACCTCCTGCTCCGCTGCTCGCTGCTCGCTGCCCACCTCGCACTCCACCGACGACAGCTCCAACCCTTTCACCAGCCGCAGCGACCCCTCTGCCCCAGCCCCTCCCGCCTCGACCTAGCCGCCCAAGATGGCGTCCCAGGGCACCGGCTACGACCTCTCGGCCAGCACCTACTCGCCCGACGGCCGCATCTTCCAGGTAGGCCCGCTTGCCTCGCGCCTCGCCATGGGCTAGAATCTCTCCCTCTCTAGTCCTGGGATGCTGACGCTGACTCTGCTCTCGTCGCCCTCCCTCCCGACGACGGCAGATCGAGTACGCCGCCAAGGCCGTCGAGAACGCCGGCACCGCCATCGCCATCAAGACTAAGACGGGCGTCGTCATCGCCGTCGAGAAGCTCGTACAGTCCAAGCTATTAGTGCCAGGCTCCAACTCGAGGATCTTCAACATCGACCGCCACATCGGCATGGTGAGCCCAGAGCCCCTCCCTCACCCACGACCCGACCATGCAAGGCCGACGGCCATCGGCCAACCGTGCTGACGTGCCGCCCTTTGTCACGACTGATCTGCCTTCCCGGCTGTCTCTGCCGCTGCGACGCAGACGTCGGCCGGCCTCATCGCCGACGGCAAGCACATTGCCTCCAGGGCGCGCGACGAGGCCGTCAACCACCGCGACACGTACCGCTACCCGGCCCCGCTCAAGGTGAGCAGCCAGAGCAGCCGCTACTGCCTCGAGCTGGCTCGCAGACTGCCTCGGCTTACACTTCGGATCCATCTTTTCGCCGCCCCCTCTGCAGGCGCTCGCCGATCGAGTGTCGATGTACATCCAGGCCTTCACCCTCTACTCGTCGGTGCGGCCCTTTGGCATCTCGACCATCTTTGCCGGCATCGACGACTCGAGAGGGCCACAGATCTTTATGATTGAGCCTTCGGGCGTCTTCTGGGGCTACAACGGCTGCGCCATTGGAAAGGGCAAGCAGCTCGCCAAGACCGAGATCGAGAAGCTCGACCTGGACAACCTCGACCTGACGCAAGCCGTCGACGAGGCGGCCAAGATGTGAGTGCTCGCCGCGCCTTGCCGCTGATGCTCTTGCCGAGCCCTGCCAGCTTGATGACGCTGACGCCCACCCCGCCCCCTGCCCCCTTGTTCTCACACGCCGCCTCCACCGTCCCGTCGGCAGCATCTTCAAGGTCCACGACGACGCCAAGGACAAGGACTTTGAACTCGAGCTGTCGTGGATCGGCCCGGAGAGCAAGGGCCGCCACGAGTTTGTGCCAGAGGAGCTCAAGAAGGTGCGTTGTGGCCATGGACTCGTTGACTGCGCCCATGTCCTGCAGGCGAGGCCTTTGCTGACCTTCCGCTTCTGATCGGCCCCTCTCGCCCCTCGCCGCTGCAGGAGGCGATCCGAAAAGCCAAGGAGGCGCTCGACGACGAGATGGAGGACTAGACCGAGACCGAGATGCCGCAGCTACCCCGAATACGACACCACAGCCCTGCCCTGCCTTGCCTCGTGTGTGTGTGGCGACACACTCGTCTGATCCGTGGCTGCTGCTCGGACATGGCCGAGGGCCGAAAGGGTGCGGCGCGTGCGGGCGCAGGCGGCCTCCGCTTCGCCTCGGACCGTCGAGCTGCACGCTCGCTGCTCGAAAGTCGAAAAAACCGCATCGACCGTGGACCAGCCGATCTCTGCTGGGCGCAAGGACTCGGTCCCGCGGGTCAGCGCGCTGGCTACGCCGAGCCACGCCGCGACGCCGACTGCGACGCCGCGACGGCCCGGCTGCGTGAAGGGCGGCCTACGACGCCGCAGTCGCTGTGTGGTCGATGGTGGCTAGCGTACGTGGCTGCCGCAGACATCTGGTGACACGGCGAGTCGAGTGGCTGCGGGCCCTCGGTGGGACGTCTACGGGAAGAGAAAGCAGCGCGTCGTCGCCGTCGCCAGACGTTCGAGCAGCAGTCGTGACGGAGACGTGACGTGCAACCCTGGCGTGCCGCCGCCTCGCGCCTCCTTCCGTCCGTCTACCCTTCCAGCCGGTCGCTCTCTATCTGTCTCGATGATCCTAGCCTGTCTCTTCGGGCCCAGTCGCACAAATCGCACGATTGCCGCGATCCTGAGCGATTGCAGCGAAGACGAGCGATCATGGGACCCCCTCGTTTTCGAGGGTGCCCGCACGCGGCCGAACCGACATCCGACCGTGCCTCTCTGGGCGCAAATGAAGTCGAGCTGGCCGGCCCCTCGATGTGGCCAGGCGTAAGCAAGCAGGCGGGCGCTGGCCCCGCTCCGTGAGCTGCCGGGGGGCGATGCCCCGAGAGACGGCCGACGCCCGTCTGGATCCGCACTCGACGAGCTCAGCCCCAGCAGGCCTTTGCCCCAGCCTAGCCCTCCCGCGCCAGATTGGCCGCCTGCCCGCCTGCCTGTCCACTGCTCGAGTTCGGGCTCGGGCGCAAACAAGATTCAAGAGGACCGCGCGGACGCCGCCGGCCTAGCTGGCCCCAACCTTAGCTTGCTTGCTTCCGTTCCGCGCCGCGCCGCACCGGCTGCGCCCCACCTTGGCCGCCTCTCTCTTCCCGCTCGATTCATCTGCTTGCTTGCTCGCTTGCTCGCTCTCTCCTCGTCGCAGCCGCCGTGCGCCCCGTCCCGACAGGCAAGCCACCCTCCATTCCATCACGCACGAGCGGAAGCAAGCCAAGCCAAAGCAAGCAACAGGCCGGCCGGCTAGGCTAGAGTTCGAGGCAGTTTGCCCGCGACGCAGCTGCGCCCTACCTAGCCTCGCACCTTAGCTTGCTTGTCACGGCCCTGCCTGATCATCGACCACCCGGCTTGCCGGCCTGCCTGCCCGTCGTCTTCGCGCGGATGCGCTGCAGCCCGACATCTGCCTGCGCATCGATCCTCCCTTCCCCCCGGCGCCCGCGGTGCTGCCTCCTGGCTCCCTCAGCCTCCTCGGGGATGCCCGCGCTCGATCCGCTGACCTCGGTTGCCTGCTGCCTGGCTGGCTTCTTCCCGCTCGAGCTGCTCAGCCTGCTCGCCCACACGGTAGCGGTGGCTGGGCTGGCTGTCCGCTTTCCGCACGTCCACGGAACCTCTGAGCCAAATGAGGCCGACCCGCCCGCGCAGGCCAGGCCGGGCCGGGCCAGGCAGGCTTAGCTTCTTGCCTGCTTGCTTTTTTTCTTCTGGAGCCAGAAGACGGCCGACGTCGGCGTGCAGGCTAGGGCGAGAGCGCAGGCGGGCTGGGCAGGCTGGTCGGTAGGCTGGTCTGGTCTGGGTTGGCCCGTCGAGGCGAGGCAAGCCTTCCCCCGATTCCGCACCCACCCTCGTCCGCTTTCCTGCTTTCCTGCCTGCCTGCCTGCCTGCCTGCCTGTCCGCTCGGCCTCGTCAAACCCTCGCCTGCTCGCCTGCTCGCCTGCTCGCCTGCTCGTTCCCCGCACCGTGCGAGGCGTGCATCTGTCAAACCTGTTGAAGGACGAGCCATGCCCGCCTGCCCCTTTGACACCTCGCCTCGCCTGACCTGCCCGAGGGCGCAGGCAAGCGGGCGTCGGACGGCGCAGAGCGTGCGTGTGTGCGTGCGTGCGTGCGTGCGATCCTGACGAGCGCCTCGCCGTCGCCGCCTCGCCCTCGGACGCGCCTGGCCGCCTGGGCTTCCGCCGTCGAGGGCCGAGGACGACGAGGGCTGGCCGTTGCGGGCCCGTATATATGCGCTGCCACCGCGTTCTTCCTTCCTTCCGCTTCCTCGTCGCCTGCCCCCTTGCCTCTGTACCCTCATCTTCTCCTGCCTTGCCTTGGTGCCCGTCCCTACGACGCCACACCCCACCACCTCCTGAAGCCCTCCAAGATGCCACAGCGTCTATCTCTCCGTCTCCCCTCGTCGCCGATGACGCCTTCGCCCGTCTGTCCGACGTCCTTCTCGCCGCTGTTCCTGCCCCTGTGGCTCGACGACGGGCGGCGCGACAGCGATCCTGCGGCCGGCGCGGCGTTGCTCGAGTCGGCATCGGTGGCCGAGACCGAGGCCGCCATGGCCCTCTGCTTCATGTCGTCCACGCCCCCCGACTCGGCCCGGAGGGATCTGCAGCCGCTGCCATCGTCTCCGCTGGAGCTGCCCGAGCCGAGCCCGCCGCAGCCGCAGCAGCGCCGAGCGCACCAGCCTGGGCAGCCGCAGCAGAACGCCGGCAAGGACAGGCAGAGCTGGGCAGCCAAGATCCGCCCGCCCGGCCCGCCCACGCTCCACAAGACGGAGCACGTCGTCGAAAAGGCGCGGTACGTGACTGCCTTCGATCCGAGGGGCTACCTGCCCGGTGAGTGGATGCGCGCCGACGTCGCTGCAGGAGCGCGAGTGCGAGCTGGACATGGAGCTGGAGGCCACAGCTCTGACACGAGAGCGCGAGCGAGGGGTCATCTCAGTGTTTGAGTACGCCATCAGCGGGGACCAGGTCGTCATGATCGACATCGAGACGTCGTACGTGCGCTTGTGAGTCGTCGTCGTCGCCGCCGTTCCGCGGCCAGGTGCACTGCAGCGCGCATTCACGATCGCGCGTGCCGAGGCTGACACGCCTTTTGCAAGACGTCGCCGTGTCGACAGCACGGGCATCTGGAAGGCGCTCGGCCATGCCAAAGGTGGGTTGCCCCTCTGCACCCGACGCGTCCCCCCACCGCTGTGCTCAGCGTACGAGCCTGACGCCGCCACCACCCACTCTCTCTGTGGCCGTCTCGTCTTGTCCTCTCCGCTTCGTCACAGCCGACCTCGGTCGCCTTCAGGAGGACACGCCCGAGCTCCAGCCCTACATCCACAAGATCCGCGGCGGCTTTCTCAAGATCCAGGGTGAGCATTCCTGACCTTTCTCTCGCCGCCTGCGACGCATCCTTGACGGATCGCAGGCCTGACGTCCTCGCTGGCATCCGATCCGACGGTCGTCTCGCTGCAGGAACCTGGCTGCCCTTTGATGTGGCCAAGGAGCTCTCGCGCCGGGTCGCGTACCCGATCCGACACGAGCTGGTGCCCATCTTTGGACCCGACTTCCCCGCCTCGTGCCTGCAGCCGGGCGAGGGAGGCTACGGCCAGCTCCTGCTCCAGACCAGGCAAAAGAAGAGCAAGAAGAGGAGCAGGAGCGCAAATTCGGCATCTGCTTCGTCGTCGTCGTCGTCGTCGTCGTCGTCCTCCTCCTCGTCGTCGTCGTCCTCCTCGACGCCGCTCGCCTCCAGCACGTCGCCCCTTCCCTGCAGTCCCTCGGCCGAGTGAGTTGATCGCAGCGCTACGGCGGGCGGCTCATGGACAACAAGGCGATGGCACCTGGAGAGGATCCGACTGACATCCCCGTCATCACGCCGACGACTGCCTCTTCTTTCCGATTTCCAACCCGCCTGCGCTTTGGTCCAGCCTGGTCAGCGGCGCGAGCACGGCTGCCCCTCCGCTCCTGCCTGCCAAATCGAGCAGCGTGCGGCACGGCAGCCGCGAGACGACGGCACGGAAAGGGGCCAAGCGCCAACGTCGGTCGTCGGGCGAGGTCGCGAGCAGCCGAGACGCCAGCGCCGGCTTCGGCCTGGACCCGCTGCGGTCCATCTGGCCTCCGCTGTCGATGGTCTCGACGTCGTCGTCTTCGTCGTCGTCGGCTGCGTTGCTTGCGTCGGCGCAGCCGTACAGGAGCTGCCCGCCCAACTATCTGGCCAAGAGCCCGTCGACTGGCGTTCAGCCCGACCCCGCGCTCCCCTTTGCCCTGGCGGTCTCGCAACGCTTCTGAAGCGGGGCTCGACGTGGCATCGGACCGGACCGATCCCCGGCGGAAGCGGGTCTGTTCCGGCCTGTCGGATTGCGCCCGATGCTGGCAGGGCGCTGTCGGGGCAGCGGCGACGGCGACGACCGACGAGCGACGACGACTGCACTCAAGGTTTCGGCCGAAGGAACCACTCGACGGGCGGGGCTCAACGTGCTTGCACCGGGACGACACCGCACCGGACGCGAGGGGGTCCGAGTCGAAGAGAGGGAGGGCGGGATTACAGAAGTGGTTGAGAGAGCAGCGGCTCCTTGTTGCTACACCTTATTGCAAGACGGCAAGAGAATGGTCCTCAGTCGGGCGACGTCTGCGGCGAGGACCGACTGACAGGAAGGGCTGCCGGCAGCGCAGCGGCCGTGGCGGCGGGGGCGTTTGATTGCCTTTGGGCGTGCAGCGAGGGTTTGACGGCGCTCTCGCGAGACACACACCACCACCGCCAGGCCCCTCCCCGGCTTGAGCCGCGCTGGCCTCCAGGTGGACCACGCGCAGCCTCGGGCCGACCATCCGGCCTCTCTGCCACGACGCTGGCGGCCAGCCTTGCACGCGAGCTCGGCGGCCCTCTCCTCTTGTCGCCACCGCCCGAGCGTTCCATCGGGGCTCGTTCCGATTGCACCTGGCGGGCCAGGTCCTTGCTCCTGACCTCGACGAATCGGAAGCCATCCGTGCACAATGATGGGCCTGTAGGCTCCCCGCCAATGGAGCACCACCATTCACCGCCACTTGCGAAGCGCTGGCGTGCGATCCAGGCAGGGCGGACCATCCGGGCGGCAAGGATGGACGACAATGGCCGGGCGATCCCTGGGATCCTGTCCGCTCGCCCCCCACCTCTTTCTTCTTCCCTCGGCCACGCCGTCGTCCGCCGATGAGGATCGATCCATCTCGATGTCCGCTGTCGGCGACGCCGCCTCGCTCGCTCGCTCGCTCGCTCGTGATCTTCCGTGAGGCCGGCTCCTAGGTCTTCTGGGGCCCAAAGCAGGGCGGCCTGGTCCCGTCACTCTCGGCAGGGGCCGACACAGAGGCTGTGCTGGGAGATAGCGACAAAGGCGGAGGCAGAGCTCGATGAAGCGCAGCAGCAGAAGAATGCGCTCGGTCCTCGCTCGCTGCCGCAAGCTCGAGTGTGGCGAGCCCCTCCGCTATGGTTGCAGCGCAGCGAGGTGGGCGCCGGGCGGGCTG